CCTTCCCGCCAATTCCTCTTCCCGCCGCCGCAGCCACGGTGACAGCACGTCCGATTATTTTCCTCAGCCACCTTATTAGCTAGCAAACCACTTTTCCCCCAATGCGTCTTCCCGCCAATTCCTCTTCCCGCCGCCGCAGCCACGGTGACAGCACGTCTGATTATTTTCCTCACCTGACCGCATCGCCAGCTTATTAGCTGGCAAACCACTTTTCCCTTACTTCGTCTTCCCGCCAACTCCTCTTCCCGCCAACTCCTCTTCCCGCCAACTCCTCTTCCCGCCAACTTCTCTTCCCGCCAATTCCTTTTCCCTTCACCCCTCTTCCCGCCGCTGCAGCCACGATGACAGCACGTCTGATCCTTGTCCTCACCTGACCGCATCGCCACCTTATTAGCTAGCAAACCACAACCTCTCTCACTCCATTCTCAACCGATAGAAGCAGGCATAGGCATACAGAATTCACGACGGCCTGGATTACCTTCAAACACCACCTCTCCACATATCATCCTCACATCTCCCCTTTTAACCTCTCTCACCGTCCCTGCCTGACCCAGATCACTCCGCATCGTCAACTTCCCTCTTCCTTCCCCTCCATTCTCCACTTCCTCGTCACTCTCCATCCCCTTACTCCTCTCGCCCGCCTATGCTCTGCAACCGCTGACCCCTCCCCACTGACCCTGTTCACAGATGCCTTTTGATATATCATAAATATAACATGAATAAATTAATAAGATAGTGTCCAATATGTACCACCACTTCGTTTCTTCGACGGCAAGAGTTTTCCCAATGTGTTTCCGTTCCACACTTCTCTCTAGTGCTCCCATCGGTACTTTAGCTGTCCTGTCTAAATCCCCTTATCTCTCCCTGACCTCTCATACATCATCACCATGTTCGCAGACAAACAACAGGGGGAGCAGAGTCCCCATCTCCCCCAGACCCTTGCCGCTGTTTCTGGCATACATTGACCACACTCCCCTCTCCCCCGTCCCCCCCACCACGGTCGCCTCACCGTGTTCCCCACCTCCTTTTGTCGAGGCGTCGTTTACTTGCCGAGGCTACACGTCCAAACACCCCTGCGGGGAACCGCCGCAGCTGATATGCCGTGATTCCCGGATGTGGGCAAGTGCCCCCTAAACAAGCCTCCTAACTAATCGTCTACTGCCTGATTCTCCTTGTGAGAATATACCATCACCTGCCCGCCCTGATCACCTGATCCCGCGCCGAATGCCTCTTCCGCGGCCAGGGGTCTCTCTCTCTCTCTCTCTCTCTCTCTCTCTCTCTCTCTCTCTCTCTCTCTCTCTCTCTCGTGTGCGTGTCTTCCAGATATGATCGCTGCATTTGTTTCGTTCTTTGCTTCATCCAATTCTTTAGCTTTCCTGTTTTCTTGTATCGGTGTCTTCCGGAGGGAGGGGTGAAGGGCAAGAGAGACAAATGAATCAGATGAAAACAAAAGGGAGAAACGGTAGGAAGGCATACCTGCTTTGAGAATCCTGCGCAAACTCGGCACCACTTGCTTAGCCGTTGCCGGGTCAAAACTACACCGGTCTGAAAGCGCTGCGTTTGGAAAAAAGAATACAGTTCAGCATAAAGAGCAGACACGGTAAGAGCAAAATCGCAACTCAGTCCTACCCTCCTCCGACTGTTGACGCTCCGTACCTCCCTGCTCTCTCTCTCTCTCTCTCTCTCTCTCTCTCTCTCTCTCTCTCTCTCTCTCTCTCTCTCTCNTCTCTCTCTCTCTCTCTCTCTCTCTCTCTCTCTCTCTCTCTCTCTCTCTCTCTCTCTATCTATCTATCTATCTATCTATCTATCTCTCTATCTATATATCTTACGCAATTCCTGCACGCTTCCTTTCTTCCATCAGACACACACACACACACACACACACACACACACACACACACACACACTCCCTGCATTCCTTCGGTCGCTCGTTCAACTCTCTTGTTATCTCTCCTTGATCTCTTACCTACCTCTTTGCCCCCCTGGCCCTCTCATTGCTGTATTTCTCTTCACCCATGCTTCAGCCTTGTAGCTCCGATAATCTCCCCTCTAAATACTTGTGTCGATCGCATGGAAAAGTGACGGCACCCACAAGTACAAAGTGACCCCCCCACGATTTCACATTCAGTAACATACGTTACACGTTGACATGGGGCAAGGGAATGGCCGATGGAAAGGCAGCCAGCAAGGCTGAGAGACGAAAACGCCGCCGACATGGCCAACTATTGCAGAAAGGGTGATGGTTAGAAATTAGAGCGACTGCAGAGGGGGGCAGCAAAACGGGAAGAACAAACAATGATTTTGGCTAACTGCAGTGACTTACTCCGGAGGTATCTGGCCCCAATTCGTCCCGTGGGAGACCAATTCATCTCTCCACTCGCCCGTTTGTATACCAAATGGCAGCCCACCGACAATTCGGCGCCTCGAACTCCTACGACCACGACGTCTGCTGAATCGTATGCGCCGCATGGATAGACCACCGGCCTAACTCCTAATCCTCATGATGCACGCTCGAGCTCGCCCCCCGAACGCAGGCCTCGCCGCCTTTGGCGCTTTCACCGCCAACCATCTCTTAATCCCGCCCGACCTTGACTTCAACGGCTTCCACTCGCCCTGAACTACCATAAGACTAGGGCGGGAGAAACTTCGTCACGTTCCCCTGTCAGGTTCTTCGCGTTCTCCCGTTCGAAGAATTCGTGTTTTTCCTTTCTTGCGCGCTTCTTTCTTGGAGCATCAGGCTCTCGGTCGCGAACAAATTGATCAGAATTCATGCACAGTCCGATGCACACCGCGAGGGGATCGATAGATCGCAAGTACAACAAGAAGCAGTGCGCGGCTGGGAAGGAGCGAAAGACCGAGCCCGAATCTGCAGTGACATGGTCGGATGAATCACAAGGTCGAACCGACTGGCGTCTGCGTTACCATCCAGTCTGGTAAAAGAATCATCGCCCATTGTGTAACCTCCGCGAAGGAGAAATGGCCCGAGGATTTCCATTCATGGGTCCATCTTGGCAGCTAATAAGTGGCAAGGTCTCAGATAGCCCTTCTTGCCCATCGCCTCATGAACACCTTTTTTTTCCGGGTACTAAGCCCCTGTCTTGAGACGGTATTGCTGGGGCCGATAAGAGCAACCCTAAGTAGTAGCCCCGCTCTTGGGACTGCTCCACTCATATCTATAGGGAGCATCACCCACTGGAAACCGGATGCAGCCTGAAGGCACGGGTGCACAGCCCGTAGTTTGTTTGTTGATGTGGTTGGGGAAGGGTAAGGTAGTGATTATGCTGTGTATGTTTTGTCATGTTCGCTATACACAACTCGAAGAGTGTGCGTGTGTGGGGTCCCGGTTGGTGCTTTATTCACCATGTTCATGGGACGCCGGACCCAGTTTCCAGCATGTGGCGCTCCCCACTGGTGCTTTATTCACGATGTTCATGGGACGCCGGACCCAGTTTCCAGCATGTGGCGCTCCCCACCAATAGACAAGAGAATGTGTGTGTGTGATTGTGTGTGTGTGCAAGTGAGTGAATGAGTGTGTGTGTGTGTGTGTGTGTGTGTGTGTGTGTCTGTGTGTGTGTGTGTGTGTGTGAAAGAGAGAGAGACAGAGGCCTGCAGGGTGCAGCATGTCAGTGGCGGGGAGCACAAGGGCATGCGCTGACCTCCCAAAAAAACAAGTAGTGTTCTATTGGAATACAAGAGTTTTTTCTTTTCGAAACTCGAATGGAAAAGGTACACGTTGTATTCGAATACAATGTGTACGAGTTCTATTCGAGAAAAGTGGACCCACACCGTTTCGATTTCCAAATGTTCAAAACTCAAGGACCGCGGCCTCCTCGCCCTCCTATGGGCAGCTACTGGTCCTTTGTATGGATCGCCCCTTGCTAAGCCCTCACATCAAAATTACACACCCTCCCGAACGACCACCGACGTTGAAAATTGAATTGACGTTGAAGGTCTCAAGGGCATAAAATGTAACCCTGACGGGCTGGGAACTATCCTGACGTCCCTGTCTAAGCTCCTTCGGAACTACGAGGAGAATATGCAAGCAACCTAGTGATATCATTGTCTACCGCGTGGGCGCGGGGAACGCAGCCCTAAGGTAGCGAAATCAATGAGACTAAGAGCTAACACGAGAGAGAGAGAGAGAGAGAGAGAGAGAGAGAGAGAGAGAGAGAGAGAGAGAAGGAGAGAGAGAGTTTTGTTTCATTTATTGTTATGAGTGTGAAAGAGAGAAAGAAATAGAGAGAGAGGCGTGCGTGCGCGTGCGAGAGAGAGAGAGAGAGAAAGAGAGAGAGAGAGAGAGAGAGAGAGAGAGAGAGAGAGAGTTTCATTTATTGATACGCGCGTGCACGCACACGCGCGCGCGCGCGCGCGCGAGAGAGAGAGAGAGAGAGAGAGAGAGAGAGAGAGAGAGAGAGAGAGAGAGAGAGAGAGAGAGAGAGAGANGAGAGAGAGAGAGAGAGAGAGAGAGAGAGAGAGAGAGAGAGAGAGAGAGAGAGAGAGAGAGAGAGAAAGAGAAAGAGACTGAGAGAGAGAGAGAGAGGGAGAGACTAAATGGCGAAATTAAATATGGGTCAAATTGCAGTCGCGATCGATTTTGCAGTTGGAATGATTTTTTTTAATTTATTGGCCCAGGCATGGCTGAGTGGCAAAAATGGAAAATGTGCCTAATCGGTGTGACGATTATTTCGCAGTGTAAATGATTTTTTTTAAATGTTATATTATTATTTCTGGAAAGAACACGACCTCATCTTTGGATTCTCAAAATTTCATATTTTTGTGCATGTTCGTTTGAGCACAGAAAATCGTCAAAGTTACCTCTTGCAAAACGCCTATTTCGTTGTGCCTGACCTCCCTGTTTTGAGAAGACGGGGCTCAATGTCTGGGCCTGAGGGCCCTTTTGCAGTTCACATGCCCTCACTTCTTTTGGGGTCCGCTTCTACCCGGGGTGCGAACCAACGCCCCCCAATTCTTTTTGGGGTCTACTTCCACCCGAGGACCGGTCCTTCCTTTTTCCAAAAGTCTCAGTTCTAGCAAAGCTAGCTGTAGGTAAGTATGTAAACATAGACCAACCACGAGCCGACCACAAGGATCGAACACGCAACCATCATATCAGGAGGCTTTCACCCAACCAAACGGCTAAGTGGACTGGGGTGAAAGTTAAGCCCCAAGATGAGCACTTGACCCCACCCCAACGCGGGTACTCGTTTTCCCCCGCAACCCGGTGTACCCAGTCACACACACCCAACACAGGCGTCGACGTAGTCACCACACAGTGTTAACGCACTGCAAGATACTACGCTAGCCGTATGTAAACATAGACCAACCACGAGCCGGCCACAAGGATCGAACGCTCGACCTCCATATCAGGAGGCTTTCACTCAACCAAACGGCTAAGTGGACTGGGGTGAAAGTTAAGCCCCAAGATGAGCACTTAACCCCACCCCAGCGCGGGTACTCGTTTTGCCCCGCGACCCGGTGTACCCAGTCACACACACCCAACACAGGCGTCGACGTAGCCACCACACAGTGTTAACGCCACATAGCTGTAGGTAGTCCGCAGTTTTGCCAAGGACCGGTCCCCCAAATTTTTTGCCCCCTAGGAACCCACTTTGCATCCTTGTCGCCCGCCGCCAAAAATGCGACACCTTGACACAGACGCGGAAGCCCACTACACCGCAGCCTAAGGGTTGCGAATAGAACATTTATAAAAAATAATTTACACTGCGAAATAATCGTCGCGCCGATTCGACACATTTTCCATTTTTGCCACTCAGCCATGCCTGGGCCAACTAAAATTAGTGAGCTTTCATGCTCAAAAGAATGCGTGAAAAAACCTATCTATCTATCTATCTATCTATCTATCTATCTATCTATCTATCTATCTATCTATCTCTTTGTGTCTCTCTCTCTCACACTTGTACCATCAAACCGAACAAAACTCTCTCTCTCTCTCTCTCTCTCTCTCTCTCTCTCTCTCTCTCTCTCTCTCTCTCTCTCTAGAGTAGTTCCCCCCCCCTTCTCTCTCTCTCTCTGGTAGGTCCCCCCCTCCCTCTCTCTCACACTCATAACAGTAAATGGAACAAAACTCTCTCTCTCTCTCGCGCGCGCGCGCGTGTTAGCTCTTAGTCTCATTGATTTGGCTACCTTAGGGCTGCGTTCCCCGCGCCCACGCGGTAGACAATCAAGGTGTCGCATTTTTGGCGGCGGGCGACCAAGAACCAAAGTGGGTTCTTAAGGGCCAGAAAAAATTGGGGAACCGGTCCTTGCCAAAATTGCGGACTACCTACAGCTAACTCTGGTAGAACCAGGACTTTTGGAAAAAGGAAGGACCGGTCCTCGGGTGGAAGTGGACCCCGAAAAGAAGTGCGGGTGGGGTAAGGGCCCTCAGGCCCAGGCGTTGAGGCTGTCTTCTCAAAACAGGGAGGTCAGGCGTAACGAAACGGACATTTTGCAAGAGGCACCTTTGGCGATTTTTTGTGCTCGGAGGAACCCGCAGAAAAATCTAAAATTTTGAGAATCCATATATGAGGTTGTGTTCTTTCTAGGAAAAATATAAGAACATTTTTAAAAAATCATTTAGACCGAGAAATAATCGCCGCGCCCCGGGTACCAGTCCAACGCCCCCAACTTTTTATTGGGTTCCACTTCCACCCAAGGACCGGTCCTTCCTTTTTCCAAAAGTCCCGGTTATACCAGAGCTAGATGCAGGTAGTCCGCAATTTTGGCAAGGACCGGTCCCCCAATTTTTTTTGCCCCCTAAGAACCCACTTTGCGTCCTGGTCGCCCGCCGTAAAAAATGCGACACCTTGACACAGACGCGGAAACCCACTATATCGCAGCCTAAGGGCTGCAAATTATTTTCCTCTGCCCTATCCAAAGTTGACCCCTGCCCTTCTAGTCTCGTCTCCTAAGGTAGCCTTCCGACCTTCCTACGGCTCTCCAGACCCCTCTTGACTTCTAGTTTTTTTTTGCTTTAGTCAAATATCGCCCCAGTTGTTGGACTTTTCATCTACACGCCTTCTATAATCCTCCTATCTGCCCCCCTTCCTCTAAACAATTAGACTTACTCAAAAACAAACAAAAAAAATATTTCGAAGGCTAAAAAAAAAAAAAACAAGGCCGGTGAATTTTCACAAAAATTACAAGCGATTAAAAAGTTATCTATTTTTTATGGTAATCCGCCTGTTCAAAAAGTAGCAAAAAAAACGTATACTTAATTAGACAAACAAAAGAGTTTGTTATTATTAATGGAGAAAAAAATGAACATTCTTCTTGTACGTAATTGACCTGAGTGAGTTGCTAAGAAACTCTGAGTAAATTTTTGACAAAAGTTATCTACTTAGGCTCACTCTGCTTTGCTGGCGAGCCATGCTCGCAAGAGCGTTTTTTTTTTTTTTTTTTTTTTTTTTCCTTCGGCCTCTCATCTCACGGCGAGCGCACCACAAAGTGGATTGATGGCGGAAATAACTTAATGGTAGAGTATAGTCTTGCCAAGGCTAAGTTTGAGGGTTTAAATCCCTTTTTCCGCTCGTCAGCTTCCTTCACTGCCTGGCCAAGAAAAAAATGGAGCCGATAATCAACAAGATA